TGGAAGCTGCCTCTCTCGAGATCTTAGAATCCAGATCTCCGGACTTTTATAGGAATGGGATAAATAGACTTGTATCGCGTTGGCGAAAATGTGTGGAATCGAATGGGGCTTATTTTGAATAAAAATGTTCACTTTAAGATGAGTTATAACTTTTTAAAAGTTAGCTGTCAAAACGGCCAGAACTTTCCTTATAACCTAATATCTAGGAGCTGTACACATTTAATCAAAAGGGCAATTTTTAACACGTTGACGACAACGCAGGACACAAATGTCCCGCGCTCATTTCCCAACTTTTTAAAGCGCATGCGTGATTTATTAAAATGTTTTTTGTGTTTATATTACAGAACAAACAGTAAGAAAGCTATAAACATAATGGTCCATTAAATGATCAAATGTGCTCCATCTTTGCACAGGTTTTCTAAGTCTCACAGCATTTTGGGCCTACTTGAACTTCGGCATTTATACGAAATCAACAAAAACAAGTAGAATAAAAACAATGGAAGTAAGCTATTGGTTGTAAGGTAAGAGCAGTTCAATAAATGTTTTTTTCCTTTCATCAGCGCTCATTCTCATTGGAATTCTTCATTCTGTCGAATCCCGTAGCTATTGGTTTCTCTAACGATGAGGCCAGAATCTCTCTATTCAGAAACACTTCGTAGAAGTCTGATGATTCCTGACAGTCTTAAACAACATCATGTAAGCCGGAGGCACTTTTAAAAGTCCAGGCATCGTGCGGCGAAACATTGCTTAACCACCATACTTTCACTATCGGATTGTTCTTCTTCTAATTTAGATTCCATATATTCTTCCATATCATCTACTACTTCAGTAGCTCCTTGCTCTCCGTCGTCCGAATTCGCGCATTCTCCGGTAATCTGGATCTCCTCCTTTCGCACTGCGGTGTCAGAAGATGGTCGAGTTGTATAGTATCGTCCAAGTATTCTTCTATTCCAGCCATTTGTGTGTGCGTATATACTTTTGTTAGAGCGTAGTATTTATTATGTAGAATATTTTTGCGTGCTTTTCATTTTATTAATCAACTTACTAAGTAGCGATAAGTAGTTGAAGGTAGGTTTTACACTCAAGCTTCGAAAAGCGCGCCTCAAGGGACAGCGCGGGACATATATGTCGCGCGGTCGAAGCTGCCGCGAAATTGCGCCTGTCCCACGCGGCCCAAAATGTCCAAACGTGCAATGTCGTCAACGTGTTAAAGGATGTTCGATCAATGGAACAATTCAGAGCAAGCTCAATCAACAAATCAAGACACATGAGCCAGCTGGTCAGTAGGGTGGCCGAGTTAGAGAGAATAGAAGAAACTCTGTGCTGAACGGGCTGATTCGCAGTGAAATTCGTTAGAATTTATTTATATTACTGAATAGCCTTTTAAAAGGGGATTACAAAGTCATAATTTCCTAGAAGTTAACTTTCATTTCGCTTTGCGGAGACATGGGAAGCCCAATTGAAATCCGAGGCTCTGAGCAAGTGACTATTATTAACAAGTTGTGTCTGTCCAGTAAGGGGTGCAGTACGATTGCTTTCGATTATTTGTGTAACTTTTTCTTGAGTGTCAAAATACTTACTTGACTAACAGAAAAGACTTCTATTATACGAGAGATGTTGCTAAAATTTGAGAGCCAGAGCAAGGTTTTCTCTTCGGACAATGGCACCTATGGTGGGTGCCAGTCGAACACGAAAGAACGGGGGCCTGTTCCTATGGCCGCAACAAGTCGGAATGCTCATAGTCCTGAAGGGTTAACTAACCCGGAAGGAAGAAAAGCCTGGCCGATCAAGCGGATATCTATCAGTTATTTGAATTTGTGACCATGCGAAAGTGGTAATTCACCCCTTGCCACTACACCACCTCCCCCTCTCAGTGAAGTCATAATTTGTAACAAAAGTCTCATTAAACCGTTTCCATCGTGACGGTCACCACAAGAGGACCCGTCCAGCTACCGATTTCCTTGGCCATGACCCCTCATAATTTTCAATAACATAATATAGAGCAAGCTGCCGTTCCCAGTAATCCCAACCGATCCTTTTTCTCCACTCCGGCGGTCAAACCACTGTTCATTGAACATCATTTTTTGCCGTTTTCCTGCCATAACCCTTTCGGGCGTCGCTATAGTGATGAGTTCATATTTAAGATGGAGAGAAAACCATTTAATGAAAAGGCCTCTAATTCTGTATTTTGCCATCTTTCCATTCTTTAAGCGGCAGGTTAGTCAGAGTTCTTACAGTGAATCCTTCAGATAAGTGTTTCCATAAAAAGTAAGCTAGCTCTATCTATATGGGAAGAAAGCCAACACTATTTGCTTTACCAAAGCTCTGACACATTTCAGTGGTTGGGAATCAATCACTTTGCCATTTTCATCGGAAGCTGAAACGGTAGGTCAGTATCCCCGGAAGCTACAGATAGGAGTCTTAACTCTCTTTATAGACTAATGTTTCCTTCTGTCAACGTCGTTGGCTCTTCAAAAAGCAGTAGCTAGAGCCGAAATTGAATTTCCACTGCGGACTTGACCGATCTCTACCCTGCTCGGAAGAAAAAATCCCCCCACTCGGTCTTGTTCTTGATTACCTAGCTGAAAAGCTTTCAGCAGAGCCCACCATTTGGTAGCCGTGAGATCCTTCCAGAACTGCACCCAAATGTATAGTCGCATGTAGACAATGCTTATGGTAACTCCATGAACCCCCTTTCGTAATGAGGATATTTTGATGTCTTTTGCTTGAATGCCTCTTTTCTCACCAGTTGCTTCTCCAGGTCCCCATTGTAACTGTTAAAAGAGAGTGAAGAAACATCTCAAGTACGTACATGCATAGAAATCCTTATTAAATGCCATGCCTGCCACGAAATTGCTCAAAACATAATTTGATATGAACAAATAGCAGAGAACTGTGCGAAATTCATCCATTCATGAGTTGAGAAGGAACATGAGGCGAAGTAGTGAGTGCTCGAGCAAAAGACGCATCTTAGCGGGTATTACGTAACACTCACCATCACCTCTTTACACTTATAACAACGCCCGAGTATTTTCGGTAACCCCAATTTCACGTGATTCGGTGAGGACAATCAAGTGAAATGAAAAAATGCCAGAATTGTTTTCTTTATTTCAGCACGGCTATCTCAAGAGTTGACATTCCAGAGGCGGTGAGTGTTCTCATCATGATGAGGCCAAGTAAAACGCTTGTAGCGGTCGTTTTCATGTTGCAGGTATTCTTCAATGCTTATGCCTAATTCGGCCTTTCTCTGATTTCGGCAATCCGCTGAAACTATTTACAAGAAAGTATAATAATCACATGTACCTATGACGCCCACTGCCTCGCTCGTCCTAATCCGATCAGAACTGTAACATGAATGGCTATCAGATTATGATGAAGGTGATGAGTTGTGGACAACGTGTTTAGCCTCCGAAGGGATTCAGACCCACCCCATATTTCCGGAGAGAGATATAGCAAATCTAGTTTTTTCCTCTGCCAAAGCTCCCAAATGAAATGTTTGCATTATAAAATCCAATCAATCCAAATCTCATTAAATAATCCCATGAATAATCGGACATTCCTAAATATCGCTCACGTTTTAGTAATTGTCATTCAGGGTAAACCGAAGATTTTGGTGGTTTCAAGAATATTGAGGCGCATGGAGGGGTACATTTCAGGTCACAGAATCGCCTTCCTGCACCTTCTTCAACATTTGTCGGTTTGGATATAATACTGCCGTTAATGATTACTTATATAAATTTTCAACTACTTCCCTACACGAGTGCTTGACGACGTGTTATTCGATCGAGAACTGCTCATATGCTCTACTCCAATGGGTATGATCCAGTATTGTTTTCGCTTTAATTCGATTTGTGAACACCATTTTTTCGTTTTTTAAAAATTTATCGACCTTTCACTGTCTGGTCTATCTATTGAATAGGCCTTCATATAGTGTAGCCGATTAGGATCTGGGATGTGTCAAATATAATAAAGGCTGCATGATCACGAATTGAACCAATAACGTTGTAATTTATTTGTGGTGCAGTATGTATAACATATAGTATAGAGCTAGCGATGTAGTGTGCACACACACAAGGTGACGGGTTCGAATCTCGTATCGATATCCGCCTATGTGGCAGCCAAGATTCCCATCCCTCTGGGGTCGGTTAATTGGTACCAGACTCGTCTGGGAGGACAAAATCACTGACTTGAACGTCGGCTAGCTACCGCAATTCACCGTATAGGCTAAATACGCATTCTGTTGCCACGAATGAATGCACAGCAGAGTTACAGTTTATATACTGCTCCGGCCCGCCAAATCTCCCGGTCAAACCGGGCAGATCAGTTTTATACAAGATTAATTACTCTACTAACATGAGATCGCAGATTTGAGTAAGACATAAATTTGCATTGCTTCACACAATTTTAATGGAGTATTTGATAATAATCATTTCTAAGGGTTCCTGTTGGGCTTTCAATAATATCTCGTTCGACAAATCATGGGACTACCTTGACTGCGACTACTACAGCTTGGAGCGAGACTACAATGCCGATCCAGAGCAATGCAAACTGGTGTCAGACTTGCTCTGAGTCTCTCTACAGAATCGAATAAATAGTTGATTTTATTTTCTCTGTTTCGACCTCGAATACGTTGGTTGTACTTAAAGGGAAGCGGAATAGACCGTTTACAGGCCGATGGCACTAAAGCCACCATCATCTCGGTAATCATTCTTATACATGAAATCCCTGAACCAAAATAGTATTCAGTATACCCCGTGCCTCCTGCTTAAGCAATGTTCAACGAACTACACCGCCTTTCGAAAAGGACGATTGGAGCCGTTCATTGCATTGGCTCGAGAAAGTCATTGATCACAAGGACCACAGGTGATGCGGGAGAAACAGAACAATCAGTTTGTTGCGTAACTACTTATATGGAGAACAAGCATAATAATTCGGACCTGTTTCACTTGAGCCCATTCAATAACCTCTGAATTTGGTAAATTCGATAATAGCATAAAAAGATAAAGCCATCGAGACGTTGAGTAGTTCAGTATGTACAGTCACAGTTACAATAGTATAAGTATCCGCGGCGTATGCAAAACCAATAGATCTTCGTTGTACCCAATTTTCTCTAATGTTTCTCTGAATACTGTACAGTAGTCACCTATTCTGACAGCATTCAGCAAATCGGAATATAAGAGTGTCCGAAAACTTTGGGAAGATTCACCCGGTTTTTTCAACACAAGATAACTACACACTCAGGGCAGTGATCACGATGGCGACCCTTCCTAGCCACGATGTCTTTCCATCAACCGTACAGGGCATTAATGCCATTCCTCCAGTATAAAGGGATTTGTGGCGCTATTCATTCATCTACTACCTACTTG